CGGCTCCAGCGCTTGGGATTAGCGGGAGACACCACCAGGGCAAAAGCAGCGCCGTGTTGTGTCTGCGAAATACGGGGGATGTAATTTTTCTGTGGAAAAACGCTGCTTTCTTGAAGGAAAAACCAAACAGACAAACTTCCTTTTACCCCGTCTTTTTAGGTTGTGGGTTAAATGTTTGGAGAAGGAGACAAGCTAGGAAAGTGGGAGCTGCCCAGAGAGGCTCGTCACTGTGATTCAGGTACCGTGATCTGTTGGACTGACTGTGGGATCGAGCATAAATGCTGTTATCAGGTGCCTGTTTCTTACACTCACAGAACTAGTCCTGAATTTTTAATTTCTGACAAACCAGTGGCCTGGAGCAGTGATTTCTGCATTTTCTGTCATGTATTGGACATGTAAAAATATTCCTCTGTGAGATACACTCCTCTATTTGAAATTCCCACAGAAGTCCATTGTTGTGCAACACATCCCTTGTCTGGAGAAGTTCAATCCTAGAATTATGGAATGATGTGGGTAGGAAGGGACCTCAAAGAACCTTTAGTTCAGCTCCCCTTACTTTTCAGTATCCCAGGTTGCTCCAAGCCTTGTCCAGCCTGGCCCAGGGACCCAGGGGCAGCCACAGCTTCTCTAGGAATCCCAACCCAGTCCCTCCCAACCCTCCCAGGGAAGAATTCCTTCCCAGTCTGCCATCTCCCTGCCCTCTGGCAGTGGGAAGCCATTCCCTGTGTCCTGTCCCTGCATCCCTTGTCCCCAGTCCCTCTCCAGCTCTCCTGGAGCCCCTTTAGGCTCTGGAAGGTGCTCTCAGGTCTCCCTGGATCCTCTCTTCTCCAGGGGAGCGCCCCCAGCTCTCCCAGCCTGGCTCCAGAGCAGAGGGAGGCAGAAGGAGCAGGGAAGGAAAAGAAAGTAAAGGGGAGAAGGAAAAGAAATCCAAGTTGGTCCACTCAGATCTGCCCCTCTCCCCTTCCAGCCCCATCCCGGCCTCCTCCCAGCCTGTCAGCCCAACCCCGTCCCCTGCCTTGCCCAGCCCCCTCTTTCCCAGCGGGTGCATCAGACAGACCCCGCGGACAGTCCCTGCTGGGCTTTCCAGTCCCNCTCTGGCAGTGGGAAGCCATTCCCTGTGTCCTGTCCCTCCAGGCCTTGTCCCCAGTCCCTCTCCAGCTCTCCTGGAGCCCCTTTAGGCTCTGGAAGGGGCTCTCAGGTCTCCCTGGATCCTTCTCTTCCCCAGCTGAGCACCCCCAGCTCTCCCAGCCTGGCTCCAGAGCAGAGGGAGGCAGAAGGAGCAGAGAAGGAAAAGAAAGTAAAGGGGAGAAGGGAAAGAAATCCGAGTTGGTCCACTCAGATCTGCCCCTCTCCCCTTCCAGCCCCATCCCGGCCTCCTCCCAGCCTGTCAGCCCAGCCCTGTCCCCTGCCTTGCCCAGCCCCCTCTTTCCCAGCTGTGCATCAGACAGACCCCCCGGGCAGTCCCTGCTCGGCTTTCCAGTCCCACCCTCCCCCAGCAGCTCTTTGCTTTCCCTCCTTTCTCCCTGGGAGCCCGGCAGGGGCACTGCCACCTCAGTTCCAACCCCCAAGGCCGTCCCCGGGGCAGCCCCAGCTGGTCCCAGCTTCTCCAGAGCGCGGCTCCGATGCCCCCAGGCTGCCTGGACAGCACCGGTGCTGCCCCGGGGGCTGGAAGGAAGCTGCTGGGCCACGGGATCCTGCACAGGGGGCACGGCAAAGGCTTTTGCTCAACAGCCAGGCCAAGGGCAGGAGCAGCTGCCGGTGGGGCTGAGAGCTGGAGGGAAGTGCAGCAGGCCCAGGCCCCTGAGCAGGGACGGCTGCCCTGGGCACACGCAGGGCCCTCCGGAGCAGGGAGTTAAAGCACTGCCTCAGCCAGCCCTGCCCCTGCCAAGGTGGGACCTGCTGCTGGCGACTGAAAGGACTCCTCTCCCAGTTCCTGGAATCACACTCTTTATTAGCACCGCCTGGGACAGGTTAATAAGGTTTGTGGGCGTTGGCGGCAGCGTCTGGCTGCAAAACTGTGTTTGAAAGCAGTCTGGGCTCTGGGAAGCAAGGCCAAGGTGGAACACGAAGCAATCTGCCAATATCCTCTGGGGGGAGCCCGACCAAAGCTCTGCTCCTTAAAGCAGCGTTGAACCTGCCCAGAGTGT